ACTTGCTTACAGAACATCCACAGGCTCTATATCCTCCTACATCCACTTATTTCTACAAATCTACACCTGAAGGCTTGTGATGCCATCACAGAGGCTGAAAAACAATTTCTAGAACTTTTTCACGTTTCCTGACAGATAAAAAAGATCTCCAATCCAATATGAACAGCTGATTTACTTATTCACTGAACTGTTTCATGACTTTCAAAACAAAATAAATATAAAAAATCTTAATCTACTCAAGCTTTCGTTTCTATTAGTTTTCTAGATTCTTTGTATTAGTAGCACTTGATACTGTCTCTTTACAATGAATCACTTGATGCTTTCCTTATTATAAGTCACTTTGAATAAAGCATCTGCTTAAAGATTAGCATTACAATAAAGTTTTATTAAAGTGTTGGCCAGTTTTTCTGCATGACAATCCCATTTATATGCTTTCTGCACAGCAGCAATAAAACTGAAGTGAGATACACAAACAGATAAAGGTCATTTATATAAAAATATGTTACCATATTTTTCCTTTGGGAACATAATTTAAAGAAATGTTAAAAATAAATAAATTGCAATATTTTGCAGAATATCAAAATATATAAAAAACGCAAAAATATTGTATCATAACAGAAGTATGGTGATAACTTTGCATCGTAGGGACTAGATAGACAAATTAAAGATTTGTTTTTTATGGGAATCTCACTTAAATGATGGACACAAACATGTTACTGTGTGATTAATGCTGGACAGTCTTAATAGCATGTCTCAGGATGAGGTTTGGTTTTGTATTAAACTGGCACAATGTCCCCTAAAAAAACTTTAAATGGAGAAAAAAAGAGGAAAATAGCAGCCAGATAAAGTCAAGCTTGATGGAGTGCAGGCAGTGGCACATTGAAATAACACATAGATATCTCTTTAACCAGAGCTCTTTATCTCTTTCTCAGGGGTTCCTAAGGTATTTCATCCTAAGCCACGACACTTATTGCTGGAATGTAAAAGAGGGATCTGTGGGTCCACCATGACTTAACGTATAAAAGACTGACACTCTACAACTGCTGTTTCCTAAATGAAAGAAATGGGTATTTGAAGATAAGTATCCAACAGGTACAAAATCTGTCACTGGGGTGGTAGCTTTTTAAAAAGTACACTTTCGTACTTTTAAGATTCACTTTTGAACGTTTAAATTACTATGACATACACATTTGTACTTTTTTGGTATTTATATGTACCTGAAAGACCAATTAAGAACAAAAATTTTCTTTTTGAAAAGGTACAGCCCCAGTGACAGATTTTTTACCTTTATTTCTGAGAGTGAAGTGTACATTAATGCACAATGCAATATGGAGATGGAAAAACGCCTGTTTACATTCAGTAGTGCCACATTTCATCTTCCACTTTCTTTTTGATACTGACACAAAGGCCAAATGATAAAAAAACAGAAATCTATGTAATCTAAAAGAGACCAGTCCACATTTTCTTGAATTTAGATCCGTAATATCAGGGCAAAATATGAGATTTTCCCCATAGTTTACTAAAGTTCACTAAGGTCTACAGCGGTGCGGGTCTTCCTGTGCGCATTCTTTTCCAAACTGTAAGGGAACAAGCCTTAAGACGGACAATGAACAATACGCTATAAATATCTCATTCTTGATTAACCCTTTAACAACATGTAAACACAAAAACAGACAACAACAATGGAAAGCTCAGTTCAGTGTCTGTGGGACTGCAGTTAAATGTTTTAGCCTTCTGTTTTTTTTACAACAGTTGACATTGGTTTCAATGCCATCATCGACTCACACACATTCTGGCACAAACAAACATGCTTCATGAGTTATAAAAAGCCAATAATGCCACTATTGCCAATAGTGCGAAAATAGTCATTTGGAAAAAAAAAATATAGGCCTATATATATATATATATATATATATATATATATATATATATATATATATATATATATATATATATATATATATATATATATATATATATATATATATCTTGAAAACAGTCTATTTTGTGAATATATGTGAGAAGTAAAAGTCAACATTTATTAATATACTATCATTATTTATAGTATCATCAATATAGTATCAGACATTTTATTATTGTATGGACATATTAACAAAAATGTTGAACTTTTTAAGCACATTTTGAACAAACACAACACGTCTAGCCTAGAGCCAAGTGTGAGCTGTCATAATGTATTCTATTAACACTTTAAACATTCTTTAATAACGTTTCACAACTTTGAAATTATGAGTAGCTATTTCATGAAGTGAACATCAGATTATAAAGTTATAATAACATCTTATCTAATATATTAGTTTTATTACTATATTTATATTAAGTGATATATTTCAGCCCACTTACCCAGCTGATTCCCCGAATCTGAGGAGTTTTCTCATTGGAACAACGATCGGGAAAGACTTTGTAATTGTAACTCCGAAAGAGATGCATGTTTCACTCAGGTCCGATGCAATAAAAACATTTATATTTTACTCCGAGTTCATCTGTTGCAGCAACACATGGCGGAAACTACATATCCAATAAGAATTTGACAGCATTTGCTTAAAGACAGTCCGACGTGCACGCTGCATTCCTACGTGCGTCTGATCTTCAGGCTCCGAATGCCATTAAAAACCTGCTGCTGCTGCTGTCAGACGTGCGCGCGCTCCCTACAGTCCGGCAGAGGCGCCACCCCGCGCCGCGCTCCCGCCTCTGCTAGGGGCGCGCCCGTTGCTGCACTTATGGATTCATCCTTGCAGGTGTTTGTTTACATCAAAGTCGATCTTGTGGATGTTACTGTAGTGTTTATAGACTTTGGTTTTTGCTTGATATTGATATTTGTTGTAAAGTTAGCATGTCAAGTGTCATAATAACTTTAATTAGGAAATGTAAGCACCGTAAATATTTTTTTAGAGTATTAAGAACCACTTAGGCTATAACCACCGTTGAACTACTAATACGATGGAAACTTTGGGTCGTGTGGCAAAAGCTTGGCTAACTTAATGGTTAACTATTAAAACTATGGTGAACTATTAAAACTTTTTAAGTTGTAAAACCTGGTTTAGTTTTGTAATGTTGCAGATTAGAAGTTTGTTACTTAATATGTAACATTTAGAAAAAAACATGGTTTTGAAACGTTTTTTTTAAAAAACATTTAAATACATATTTTTGTTGTTTAGCTTTTGTATGGTATGTCTTGAGGCTTTTACAGTATATAGTTGCTGGTTGCTAAACCTACTGGACTAGTCATATATGTTCATTATCTGTATTTTTTGGTCAATGGTCATTAATTAGAGTTGGTTAAATATATAAATAAATATACAAATATTGATTGAACTAATTTGAATGTTAAAAGTGAAATGGATTGCTAATTTGCATCCTAAAAGCAAGCAAGACCAATTGGTTAAAGTCAAAAATACCTACAACTACCCCTGGTCTACTTTATAAATATTAACTAATAGCAAAGTTGGTTCAGTTTTAACTAAAATTACAGCTAAAACATAAAATATGAAAATTTTAGTTTAAAATATTATTTATTCTTTCATTTTCCTTCGGCTTAGTCTCTATTTCAGTAGTTGCCACAGTGGAATGAACTACCAAACATTCCAGCATATGCTTTACGCAGCAGTAAAGCAACCTAGTATTGGGAAACATCCATACACGCATTCATACACACATACACACTCATACACCTTGACCAACTTAGCTTACTCCACACAGAAATGCCAACTGGCCCAGTAGGGACTCTAACCATCGACCTTCTTGCTGTGAGGCGACAGTGCCAACCAATGAGCCACCGTGCCACCCTTAGTGTAAAATTGCATTAGGAAAGGCCTCAAAAAAATTCTATTGACAAATTTTAGACTCTTTAAAACCTAAACAAAACATATTGTTGTATCATTTATTCAATATTAATAAAATATGTAATAATATACACGTTTAAGGCATTTTATAGTAATAATTATTTATAAAAAAGACTGTTTAATAAATGAATGAATAAATAGATAAATATACATAGCAGTTTATATTGCTATTGTTAATGTTTAGTTTTTTCAAACAAAAATCTATATCACTATAATTCTATGCAAATTAGGATATTTATTAGTAATAAATGAAACTAATGTCATGTAAAATATTTTATTTATACATTAATAAATATTTTAATTATCATATTAAAAAGGAAAGAAATATCAGTATAATACTGGCACACTAACCACTGAACCACCGTGCCACCCTTCAAAATATAAAAAAACCCTTAGTAAATAATTAGTGATCAGTGATAGTCAAATAACACTATGCCGTATTTAATTATTGTGTACATTTTCAGCTGCTAAAGCAATTCATATATATGTTGATATATCTTCAATGCAACATTGTCAAATACGAACATGGACATTTCTATTTTAATCCGCTTAAAACTAAAAATCTGTTAAGCATAATAATACAGTATTTTAATAAGTGATGACTTAAAAAAAGAAAAAAAGGTTATGAAATGGAATTGAAAATAGCATATATTAAGTTTCATATATAGCGGGCTATTTAAGTTTCATATCGGGCTTAGGGATTATTTCTTGCATCTAGTGCTGTAGAAATTTGCATCAAGCACTAAATAACCACTAGAGCAGGAAAAATATGTTCAGCTCATGTGTTTGCCTCAATAACACACTCCGTTCGGCTCTCTTATCTGTGTGTTCCAGCTGCATGATAAACCTTGAGGGGTTGAGGAAGATCAGGGGGGCGTCTCCGTAACCCACCTTACTTACTAATGCAGGTGCCAAGGTTAGAATAAAGGAGAAAAATGAACAGGAAATGGCTTAGATGAAAAAGAAATCCTTCTGCACACGTTTGGAATGTTTGCAAACTGTTCCCTTTGTGTTTTATTTGGTGCATGAGATGAATTGCCAGTTCAAAGAGAATAAAAACAAAACTATTAATAGTTAAGCTCACATGCTTTATTGTGACCCCTACTTAGATATGATTAAATAATTGATCTTATTCTGTACCTTTTGAAGGGACGAGCGCAGAGTGGAGCGGAGGAGTGTGTCTGCCGAACACATGACTGCTGGAGACTCTGAGGAGACAACAGTAAAGAAAGAGAGGAAGTCAGTAATGTTTGATTCAGTCTGCTTTTCTCTGTTACATCATGCCGTTTCCCATCTCATGCTTATGATTTGTGAGATCTCATGACTCCCAGTAAACTGGGTGGATGGATTTTGTGAATGTTTTCCAATGGGATTGTTTTTACCTTGCTGTTTATTTTCATTCTTGTAAGTTACTTATAGCGCATGTTCTGTTCTAAGATTTAGTTACAGTACATTTTCATTTCTTAAAATCCTGAAATGAAACCTCAAAAGTGACTGAATAAGTCCTTAAACTGCATTTTAAATCAGTGTTCAAAACGTTCATTATTTGTGTAGTGTCTTAGCCTTAGTGTAAAATTGCATTAGGAAAGGCCTAAGTTTATAAAAAAAAATTCTATTGACAAATTTCAGACTCTTTAAAACCTAAAAAAAACATATTGTTGTATCATTTATTTAATATTAATACAATATGCATTGATATACAAGTTTAAGGCATTTGGTAATAATAATTGTTCATAGAAAAGACTGTTTAATAACTAACTAAATAAATAAATAAATATAAATAAAAAGCAATTTTTATTACTGTTGTTTATGTTTCATTTTTCTTTAATAATAAAAATCTATATCACAAATTTTCTATGCATCTTAAAATCTTTATTAATAATACCTGAAACTAATGTCATACAAAATATCATATACATTAATAAATATTTTATTAATCATATAATTGACAAATAAATATCAGTATTATTCTGACACATTGAATTTCATTATATTAAATGTTATACAGTTGAAGTCAGAATTATTAGCCCCCCTTTAAATTTTTTTTCTTTTTAAAATATTTCTCAAATGATGTTTAACAGACATTTTCACAGTATGTCTGATAATATTTTTTCTTCTGAAGAAAGTCTTATTTGTTTTATTTTGGCTAGAATAAAAGCAGTTTTTACATTTTTTTTAAAAGCCATTTTAAGGTCAAAATTATTAGCCCCTTTAAGCAAAATATTTTTTATTATCTTCCCTGATTTATTAGCCCGCTGTTTATTTTTGTCCCCAATATCTGTTTAATGGAGAAAAACATATATAAACATATATACAAATAGTAATAATAACAACTCATTTCCAATAACTGATTTATTTTATCTTTCCATGATGACAATAAATATTATTTTACTAGATATTTTTCAAGACACTTCTATACAGCCTAAAGTGACATTTAAAGGCTTAACTAGTTTAATTAGGTTAACTAGGCAGGTTAGGGTAATTAGGCAAGTTGTTGTATAATAATGGTTTGTTCTGTTGACTATCAAAAAAAATACAGCTTAATGGGGCTAATAATATTGACCTTAAAATTGTTAACTGCTTTTATTCTAGCTAAAATAAAAAAATAACACTTTCTGTAGAAGTAAAAATATTATCAGACATACTGTGAACATTTCCTTGCTCTGTTAAACATAATTTGGGAAATATTAAAAAAAAGAAAGAAAAAAAATTCAAAGGGGAGCTAATAATTCTGACTTCAACTGCGTGTGTGTGTGTGTGTGTGTGTGTGTGTGTGTGTGTGTGTGTATATATATATATATAATATATATATATACACACACATGTATTTGTGTATATATATATATATACAAATTTCATTTTTAAAAGGCTTGATACTGTGCACCAAACTGCTGTGACACAATGAAAAAATGATCATGGTCAGGAAAACATTACCTGCTCAGCGTTGCGCTTCAGATTACATATTTATATAATAACAACACACATTAAGCCATATCACATTCACAAACATTGTTAGAATTAATAGAAAAGTTCCCAACTGGTTTCATTTACTCGCCCACATCAATTTTACTCACATTTGACACATTTGGTGATGTTAAATTCAGGCCTTATACACAGTAAAAAATACAGGGTTCCACACAGTTTATTAATGTTGTACCAATTCTAATCAATTAGGGTAAGTTACAGTAATTGCTTTTGACAAATGTGGTCAGTGCACTTGGGATTTTTTAAACTTGAAGTGGACAAAAGCTCAAGAATTATGTTGTTTCGACTTATTTTATTTAAGTAGTATGAACAAACAACAAATATATACACAGTACAAATGCAGTAACATAACACATTCAAGTGGATTGGATATTAAACAATTAAGTTGTCCCATAAAAATTATTTAAAGAAGCATATAGATTTGGTGCATCTTTCATAGATTGAGCAAAAACAAGTTTTCTTAAAAGCCAGCATATTTGAAGCATCGGAAAATGTTACGACCAGCTCACAGGAATCAGTATAGCACCTATAAACCTATGAATAGCTGTATAAGTATAGCTGTAAGTAAGTATAGCTGTATAAACTGATGAGTTAACTTTATTTTAAAAACATAAGTAAACATTTAGCTTTTAAAGTGATTAGTTAACCTTACTTGAATCAAATCAACATCTTTGTCCTAAAATTATAAGGTCAATATGTGCATAATTATAAAAAGCCAACTTAAAAGTTCCAAGTTAGTTTTTTTATGTAAAGTCAGCTTGTTGATTTTAAGACATCGGGTTTACTCATTTTTTTTTAAAGTAACGAATCTAATTTTACAATGTAAATTGATGCGTTATTTTTGTGAAGAATGAATGCCATTCACTTCAGTAGGCTTCATCCCAATGTGGGCACCACTGAATTTCCTTCCCACCCACAGGTCACGTTGGGGACAATCTTAAGATGTGTCCCTCCCTAAAAAAATCCTCCATGTGGCTGGAGGTCAGGAACATTGCATAACTCTGTTTAGACCCCGGCTATTGTTTCAGCAGAGCGGGCTTCCTTTCCTGACAGAGTAAAATATAACAACACTACGACTAATTTTGAGAGCTTTTCAGACTCCTGTTCCACTCTTCAATCTACAATAACAGAACAACAAGATGTAATAAATACAGTATGTTGCTTTTTATGTGTACTGTATGTTCATCACCTCTACAGATGATATGTGAACCACAGCAGAATAGCACTTGTATATTCAAAGTCTAAGCTGTAAACGGATAATGAAGCGTCTTTAGATGCGGATTGATTTAACACTTTAAATATGTGATAATGTGTTATGCTAAACTCCTATTAATGATTATGTGTAAAATGTTGCAGCTGGTTGGTTGTAGATTCCATGAATTAGCACTTTTTTATAAGCTGTGGTTGTTTTAGCTCTGTTCACCTGTCTTCTTTCACAAAAAGCCCCTAAGTGTTACTCAGCTGTTGTCCTGAGTGTATTATCTAGCAGAACAGACCCGCTAAAACAACATCTTACTACTTAAACAGAAGCAACTGCATTCTGTGTTTAAGCATGGGAAAGACAAAGCTCTTGTCTGCAGTTGCGTGAGATGGAAGTAAATGGCACTTTCTATGAATGGTACACTTTGATGTCCCATGACCTAAAAGAATTGGAGGCTCAGATAGCCTCCAAGAAGCAGCTTTGTTTAAGCATTAAATGCCTTTACTCTTAGATTTTTGTTTAATAATGTTTTTGGCTTTTACAAATCTACATTTGAGGTTCATTCTCAATCATACAAAAATGATCACTATTTAATTACGATAAGTTGAACTAGTGTAGGCATGGGCCGGTATAAGATTTTGACAGTATGATAACCTTAGATAAAAATACTATGGTTTCACGGTATTGTGATTAATGCTTTAAAATATGTTCTTTTTAAATGTCTGGGTAAAACAAGAACTTTTTCCACTTGAAACACAATGTCTGTGTCCGAATCCCATACTTGCATACTATATAGTATGCTAAAAACCATATGCAAGCCAAGTAGTATATCTGAATTCAACAGTATGCGAGAAGTACACCAATGATCTACTACTTCTGTGCTACTCTATCCCATGATGTACAGTGAGAAAATTTATGAATGGGAGTGAAGCGGGTATGTCATGTGAAGATGACCAAATGGCATCCATATAGTACGTCTGAGCTCCATTCACACTACTCACATTCATACTGTATAGAACATATTTTCCTATTGGTCGAGTAGTAAATTTAAATTTGAATCCAGTACTTACTAATTTGTAGGCGATTTCGAACAGAGCCAATATATTTTATTTTGAGAAACATTCAAAATATTTTGGAACAGTTAACATGTCAGGCTAAATAAAAAATAAAAAGGCATCATTGGATGTCTTTTCTGGGGTGCGTTTCCCAAACAACGGCGTAACTTGTGGCTAAACTATCATAGTACATGAAACATTTGCGAAAAGAACAATGTGTGACGAGTGTTTCCCAAAATCCGTAGTTTCACTGTCACAGATCCATCGTTTGAACCATGTTAATGTAAAATGCATATAATGATGCTTTAAACAGGGAGGTAACAACTTCTTTAGAGAAGAACCCCATACTTTCTTTGTACAAATTATATTGTTTTACACACACATTAAAAATGTAAATGGCACAGATAGGGCCTATGTTTCCTTTACAAATATTATTTAGAACATTACATATTCTATTCTAAAACATAAAATCTCTTACAAAAGCTAACACGTATTTTAATATCATATATAAATCATATAAATAAATAAATAACGAGGCTATTTATTAAGAAATTAAATTCAATAGTTATTATTTATGAGGAAATAAGTGGGATATTGTTCATTTTATTTTTATTTTTTAAAATTTGACACATGGAAACTGGAAATAGAACACAGCCAGGAACTATGTTTCTAACTACAGCTCCAGGGGTGTAGTTGCAAGCATACAAATTTGTGAATGTTCGTTGGAGTGATGGAATTGAAAAACATCAAATCAACAAACTATGTTTGTTACGACGCAACTTGTGACCTTAGTTGGCTAACTATGGTTTTCAGAAATGCACCCCTGCTGGAGATACTGTTGTCCTAAAAAAAATTCTTATATGCAGTTGAAGTCAAAATTATTACCCCCCAATTGAATTTCTTTTTAAAATATTTTCCAAACGATGTTTATCAGAGCAAGGAAATTTTCAAAGTTTGTCTGATAATA